CAAATCCCTTTTTATGGGCTTTGCTTACTGCTCTCTCTCTCTCTCCTTGTTTCCTGCCCTTCCTTGGGCCATGCTAATGCCAAGCTCTTTTTAACCGCGGCACCTTTGTACGTACTTTTTCCTGCCTGGAAAGATCTCGTCACAATCTTTGCATAGAGCACTACCACTCGTGTTCAGGTTTAATTTTAATTTGGGGGGGCGGGTGCTGCACCGTGTGGCATGTGGGATTCTAGTTCCCTAACCAGGGATCAAACCTGTGTCCCCTTCCTGGGAATCATAGAGTCCCAACCAGGGGCCAGGGAAGTCCCTCAGGTTTTATTTTAAATGTCATCTTGCAAATCAAAATTACTATGAGATACCACCTTAACGCCTGTCAGAATGACTGTTACCAAAGTGACAACAAATAGCAAATGTTGGCAAGGATGTAGAGAGAAGGGAACACTTAGGCACTGTTGGTAGGAATGTCAGTTGGTGCAACCACTGTGCAAACCAGTACGGAGGATCCTCAAAAAATTAAAGATATAACTGCCATGTGATATAGAAAATAAAAACATTAATTTGAAAAAGTATACACACCCCAAGTTCACTGCAGCATTATTTACAACAGCCGAGATGTGGAGGCAACCTAAATGCCCATCAACAGATAAATGGATAAGGAAGATATGATACACATGCATACACCATGGAATATTACACCACCATTTTTTAAAAATGAAAATTTTCTATTTGCAGCAACATGGGTAGATCTAGATGGTATTATAAGCAAAATAAGTCAGAAGTCAAATACTGTATGACTTTATTTACATGGGGAATCTAGACAAACAAAATAAACAGAGTCCTTAATACAGAGAACCAATGGGTGATTACCAGAAGGGGGATGGGGGGCAAAATAGGTGAAGGGGATTAAGAGGTACAAACCTCCAGTTATAAGTCGTGGGATGTAATACACAGCATAAGGAATATGGTCAATAATATTGTAATAACTTTGTGGACAGATTGTTACTAGACTTAGAATGGTGATCATTTCATGTTATATGCAAATGTCAAATCACTATGTAGTTGTTCAGTCATTCAGTGGTGTCCGACTCTTTGAGACCCCATAGACTGCAGCCTGTCAAGCTTCTCTGTCCTTCACTGTCTCCCAAAGTCTGCTCAAACTTATGTCCATTGAGTCGGTGATGCCATCCAATCATCTCGTCCTCTGTTGTCCCCTTCTCCTCCTGCCCTCAATCTTTCCCAGCATGAGGGTCTTTTCCAATGACCCTCACCTTCACATCAGGTGGCCAAAGTATTGGAGCTTCAGCTTCAGCATCAGTCCTTCCAATGAATATTCAGGGTTGATTTCCTTTAGGATGGACTGGTTTGATCTCCTTGCTATCCATGGGACTCTCAAGAGTCTTCTCCAGCACCACAGTTCAAAAGCATCAATTAGTACACCTGGAATTACCATTTTTCCTCAACTGCATTTCAACTTTTCCCTTAGAAAATGACTCATGTGGTAAATTTTGTATATTTTGCCACAGGAAAAAAAAAATTGGGGAAAAAAGTCATCCCAGAGGATCCCTATTACTGCTTCTCAGAGCACCCTAATCTTTTGTAATGTCTGTTTATTTTATCCAAAATAGTTTTCTGACCCATTTCATGGATGCTGAAATGAAGCTGTTGAGGGGTCACTAATGGAAATTCTAGATGTCATGCCCACCCTCAGCAGGGTTTGAGTGGAACCTGAGGTTGGAGGGCCTTCCCACCCTTGGCTGTGCCAGCAGACATAGCATCCTGTGCTTTTGGGCGTCCCTGTGTTGGGGATGGGGCACAGTCTGTGCATTCTCTCTGGGGAGTCACTCCCAGGGGCCTGGGAGAGGCCCAGAGACCAGCAGGGAGGCCAGAGGCTCTCCTGGCTCCTCAACTCTGGCCCCTTCCAGCCCCCGGCTCATCCAGGCCAGCCCTTCTCTCTGGAGGTGCTGGGGCTGGTTAAGCCCTCAGGGAGCGTCCGATTTCTGCTCCCTAGGTCCCAGGCCCCTCCCTTCCTTTGCTAAGGTCAACCCCAGTTGGTGGGCGCCTGGACTGGACTAGGGGGCAAGGCCACGACGTTGCCCAGCCCCTACAGCGAACCAGCAAGGGTGTGAGGCTCCCCGGACCCACAGGAAGCCCGAGGTCACACCCGGCAGGTGGTGGTGATGCCCAGGGTCCAGCGCTCCGTCTGGGCCGGCAGCAGCACTGGGCACTGGCAGCCGAGAGTCGGAAGCCTAGAAAAGCCGTCGCCGGTGGGCTACCTGGAGGGAGGGTGGGAGCCGCTGCGGGAGAGGTGGCGGACGGGGTGGGGAGGAGGGCTCCTGAGCGCTGGGGATTGGGGGCGGTCTCAGGGCGGGGCGCGGGGCGAGCCCGAGGGTGGGTGGGTGCTGAACTGCAGAAAGAGAGCTTCTGGGTCGCCGAGGGGGGAGGTTGGGGTGCGTCCTCAGGGACCCCCCTGCCCCGCTGTGGTGGGATGGGAGGGGCAGGAGGAGCAGGTGGCCGGCGTGGCAGGCAGTCACGGGGAGGAAGGGTCCTGGGGGTTGGGCTGGGCTCGCAGGCTCTGGGGTGGGCTCCTGGGCCAGGTGAGAGAGGCGGCGATGCGGGGCTGGTTAGAGAGGATGGGGTCCCGGATGCCCCCGCCCCACCCCGAGCGCCTCGAGGACGCTCTTCGCTCCCGCTGGCTGGGCGGGCGGCTTCTGCGGAGGGGCCTCCGGGCCGCCTCGCAGGGCCGCAGAGTCGTGTCGGTGGCGCCACCTGGTGGCCCCCGCACGCCCGGCCGGGGTCTCCGCCGCGGCCTCTCTCTGCTCCCCTCCTCCCGCTAAGAACGCCTCGCCTTCCCAGCTGTGGGACCTGCGGCTCTGGCTCCACATCTGTTAAGTGGGCTGTTAAACACCCCGAGTGGCAGGTGTTTTCAGAGTAGTAAATAGGATGCTCCGAGCGGAGTTGCTTAGTTCCTGGGCCTGGCTTACCATCTCCTCATGCCCCTAGGGCCTTAGCTCCCTCCTGTGAGGAGCAAAGTGGGCCTCTTAGAGGTGAAGTGAGCCCCTCGGGTCCCCCAGGCAGGGAGCGGCGCCTGAGGTCAGAACCCAAACCTTACGCCTGATCGGCTGAGGGCATGGCCCCAGTGCCCAGGGGAGGTGCTGGGGCTGGTTAAGTCCCGTCCCCTGGCGCCAGTCCTCGCCCCTTTGGGCCTCAGGGACCCCACATGTTGAACGAAGACTGGATTTTGAGGGGGCTGTGCGCAGCCACACCTCAGCTCTCAGCCGGGCCCCTCACCACCGCTGGCTCTGTCGTGGGGCTGGCTAGGAACAGACCCGCGGTGGAAACCTTCCGGTCCGAGGATGAGGGTTTCATGGCCGCCTGAGCTGGCAGAAGGCCTACTCAGGCCGCGGGTGGGGGGCTCTCCTGGCTCTGATGGGCAGGTGGCCTGGCTGGGGGCCCAGGAGCCCTCAGAGCGGCCCCCTCCTGCCATGAACAGTCTCTACTAGGCAAGTGAGGCTTCCTTCAAGGCCTCCCCTCAGCCCCTGCCCACCCCTCTGTCCTTGGTCTTGACGTGGTCCCAAGGCTGCCTGGCCCCAAGCTACTCCCTCGCTTACATCTCTCTACCTTGGTTTACCATCGGGGACCTCCTCAGCAACCCCACCTCTTTCCCATGAACCCCCAATCCTACATGGACCACTGAGCTGACCAGGCCAGTGCTGAGGGCTCCTCAGGGGATGCTGATGCCCCTCAACCACCCCCTTTTCTGGTTCACCCTCTCCCCTGTGTGGTGTAGAGCTGCTGGCTGGCGGGGCTCCCATGGGTTCTAGGAGCACCATGTTTGAACAATGCCTGCAGGAGTAAGCGAGATTTCTGGAAGATTCTGTGGTTGGACGTAGCCTCTGGGCAGACCCTCCCTGAGCCAGCAGGGGAGGCGGTTCCTGGGATAGAGGTGGCACTCCTGGGGTTTCCCACAGGCAGGACCCAGGAAGGGGCCAGGCGGCAGGTGCCCCCGCCTGGCTGGGTGCTGTCCCAGCCCGGCTCCAGGCCCATCCTGCGGCCCCCAGCCTGCCACCCAGAACCCGGCGCGGCCCGTGGGTCCTTGAGTTCCAGGCCTCTCACCGCGTCTCCTGTGGCGAAGGTGTGAGGAGGCCCAGGCCCAGTGAGGGCTGCTGGGCCTGTTTGCAGGAGGAAAACCGCTCCTAGGTGGGGAGCGTGGGTTCAGGCCGTGTCTGAGCGACCTCTGCCTGCCCCCCACCCCTTCAAGGTGGCCAGTGGGGAGCAATCCTGGTGCCCAGGTAACAGGAGCCGGAGGAAGCCGCTGTGGGCAGAGCTGAGGCGGGTCCCCTGCCTCTGAGTGTCAGCTCTGGAGGGAGGGCATCAGGGCCCCACGCCCGGGCCATCTCGGGGAGCCCCTGACCCGGGCACTTTTCTGGGGTTGAAGCCCCAGAAGCCTTTGCTGCGGTCCCAGGTCATAGTGGGATTTGAGGTTGGGCCACCAGACCCCCAACCTTGCTTTCCACCTGGCGTTCCTCAACCAGACCTGCAGGGCCAGGACGCCCCCACCCCCTACCCCTGCCGGGGGTGGGGCAGAGGAGAGGTCGCCATGCTGACGCCCCCTCCCCTCCAGTCCTCACCTGGCCTCTGCCTCCCAGGGGTTGAAACTCTCCTAAACTCTTACAAACCTGCCCCCGCCCCCCCAAAGAAGAAAAGGCCCAGGTCAGAGAAACCATTTTTGTTGACAGTTATCGCCCTCACCTGGGGGGCTGAGGACTTGAAAACAGGAAACCACCAGGGATGGGGCTTTGTCACCTCACACATACACCTGCGTGCCCAGACTTGAACACGTGCTGCCCACATCCGCAGCCCGCGGGGTCTGTGTGGAGACGCTGGCTGGAAGCCTAGGGATAAAACAAGCTGTGCAAAGACGGTGGCCCCCAGAACGCAGACATCCAACAGAGGGGTGGTCCCCGAGGCCCGGAGAGAAGGGCAGTGACCTGGGGTCCCTCTCATCGCACTCCTGAAGGCCCCAAAGCGGCTCTGCGCCCCAGAGGGTCCGGGAGCAGGATGCGGTCGGCGCGGGCGTGGAGCGGCCGCTTTTCCGCCTGAGCGTAGAGTCGGTTCTCGACCGAGATGAAGCTGCTTCGTGTGGAGGCCGGCGGGGGTGCCCAGGAACCGGGGCTCTGGGGTCGGTGCGCGGCGTGGGTGGGGAGCGGCACCCACCCGGGCAGTGACTGGGGTGGGGGGACCCGGTGCAGGGTTGCTGGGCTGAAGTAGTTGGCGGTCGTGACGGTGGCGGTGGCATAGGGGACGTGGAAGGAGGTCAGGGAGGCTTGGCCGGCTGCCTGCAGGGGTGATGGGGACGGAGGCCTGAGTGAGGCTCCCTCTCCTGGCGCCCAAGCTGCAGCCCCCTCCGTTCCCCTCCGAAACCAGCCCCCATCCTCACACTGGCTCTCCCGTCTGTCTGGGGGCTGCTGTGTCTGGGCGGCTGAAGCTTCATGATGGCCCTGGGGGGAGAGAGGAGGGTCAGAGGCAAAGCGTGTGGCCGGCCTGGGAGGGGGGAAGCGGGGGGTGGACTGGGACCGGCGGAGGCTGTGTCTCACCAGTGCCTCTGCCGATGCAGGAGGTAAAGAAGGTAGATGCAGCCAGAGAGGAGGACCCCCGAGACCCCCAGGATCCCGGCCAGGTCGGCCCGCAGCACGGGGGCTGGACTGGCAGCAGGGAGCCCTGTGCACAGAGAGACATGCCAGTCAGGTGGCCGGCTGCCCGAGTCCCTCCCTGTCCCCCGAACCCCCTCCTCATCCGCCCCACCTGGGTCTGTGCTGAGGGACAGGTTCCCACAGGCCTCCTGGGAGCCCTCAGGGAAGGAAGTGAACTTGCAGCAGAAGGTGGTGTTGGGACCGGAGCCCCTCCCTGCGGTGGGAGCGCTTTCCAAGGTGAGGGAGACGCTGGTGCTGGTTTCCCAGCGGGCCCGGCAGGCGGCTGTCCAGTTCTTGGTGCCGAGTGTGGGGTGCAGCACGGCCAGCGTGGTCCCCCCAGCACCGTCGGGGCCCCCATAGCTCACAGTCACCAGGGAGATGGAGCCCGAGCCCAGGAATCCACAGCGGACGGTGAAGGAGGCCTCGGTGGCCTCCCTCTGAACCTGCAGCCACACCTCCGGAGTCCCTGCGGGAGAAGGTGCAGAGACGAGGTCCGGGCCTGGGTCTCCACCCGCACCCGGGGCCTCTGCTCCTCTGTGGCCCCCACTCACCGGCAGTGAGGCAGAGAGTCAGCAGCGCCCAGAGCAGGCCCAGGGCCCGGGGCCTGTCCATGGCTCCCCTCTGGCCCGGGCTCCAGGGGGCTGTGGTCGTGGGGACAGCACTTGTATTTCCGGTGTCATCGCAGGAAGTTTTACGTATGAGGATGAGCCGGCCCTGGGAGCAGCTGCTGGGTACTCTCTGCAAACCTGCCCCACTTCCTTCTCTGAATCTGGGGTCGAGGAACCCCCCTTCCCCCCAAGAAATTTAAAGTGACAGTGACAAGATTTTCCGTGTCCCCATGCTGCGCTCCAGTGTGAGCGGGATGGTGCCTCGCCTCAGGTTCCCAGCCCTGCCCTGCCTAAGGGTACCAGCCCTTGGGGGCTGGCTCTGAGGGGAGATACACTGCAGGGGGACCCCAGAAGATGCTCTTCCCTGGAGAGGGAGGGACCCCCTGGTTTGTCTTTAGGAAGAAGGCTGAGACACACCCCCCCCCCACCCCCCCCCATCAAGCTCACTGAAGGGAATGTGGCAGACCTTGGGGAGAGGAAGCGGAGCCCGCCAGGCCCAGCTGGGCTGTGATCTGCCTGCGGAGCTCCGCTCCATCTGCACCTTCCTCCCCACATCTGAGGGCAGCTGGCTTCCAGCTGCTGAGGCCAAAGGCCTTAGCAACCCTTCACCCACCTCCAGCCCATCACGAAATTCTGAAGGCTTCCCATCCTGACCACCTGGCCTCTTTTTAACCACCCTCACCCCCACCTCTCGGGCTCACGCCGTCTCTCCCCCTAAGAATCACTCTGAATTGCTTTCCTGTGCACCTTTGTTTACAGAACACACACTGCCCAGAGTGCTGCTGTCAGCAGTGATGAGTGATCAGAATGCTTTGCATCCTGTCTTGTCTTTCGCTGAACTTGCATCTGGGCTGAGAGTGGCTTGTTGAGCTTAAGGCATAGAGCCACGGGTCTGTGTTGAGGACTTCTGTCCGGGGTGTGGAGAGAACTCAGAAGGCAGTGGTGCCAAGGCCTGCCCTGGCCACATGCCCCTGATTCAGCATCTCTTCAGATTCCGTGGTGCCAGCCATCAGCCCGCCGGTCTCAAGTGAACTGTCAGGCCATCCACACCCAAGAGCCAGAATAAGCAGGGCCTCCGGGCCAGTCACTTCTCGGCGCCCAGCCCAGGTGGCGTGCATTCTCTTACCCTTTGACTTTCCCTCCAAACCTGACTCAGACCTGCTCTCACCCGCTTTCTCCCCTCGTTCCCCTGAGGTGAGGGAGCCCTGTGCAGAGCTCGCCCGATTCAAGGAGGCCCAGCCCAGCGCGGGTGCCGGGCACCAGGGTGCATGGGCCGCCGACTTCAGCCTCTAGCCTGGAGGACCCTTTCCTTCTCCCCACTTGGCGAGGCCCAGGTCAAACCCCACCGAGGAAGCTGTCTTGAGCGCGCCTTCCCTTCATGGATAACCTCTTGCCCAGATGGCGGGCCCTGCGTGGCGGCCTTTTAGTAACCTCCACACGGCCCAGGTACACAGAGGAGCTAATACGGGGTGACCAGCGAGTGAGAAGCCGTGGCACGGTTCGCTGTCCACCAGCAGTTTCCGTCTGTTTCCGTCTGTACGCCACGCTGTCCCCAGTGAGCCCTCATCGTGGGAGATTCAAACGCCACGGTGGTGTTTTGTTCGTTGTGACTGAAGAGTAGAAAACATTACCGTTCTTCACCAGCCTGCCCGCTCCCTTTTCCCTCTGCGTTTTGCTTTTCAGTAATGTTAAGAATGTCCGTCTTTTGTTTCTGGATTTTGTGTATTGCTTAGGAGGGCCAAATTATAACTTCATAGTTTTGTTTTTATGCTTAACTCTTATGAGGGTTTACTTTGAATCCACGAAGAATTTTAATTTGGAGGTGGTATTATTTTACAATTTAGGTGGCCAGCCAATGTCCCCAAACCCCTTGTTGAATAGTCACTTGCCATTTTTTAAAATTATTATTGATAGTTGAGTTATAATATAGTTTCAGGTATACAGCATAGTGATTTAACTTTTTTATAGATTATACTCCATTCAAAGTTACAAAACATTGGCCATATTCCCTGTACTGTACAAACCTTGCAGCCTTATTTTTTTAAATTGAGGTGTAGTTTATGTACAATATTATATGTTTCAGGTGTACAACATAGTGATTCGTAATTTTAAAGGTTATATTCTATTTATAATTATAAAATATTGGCTATATTCCCTGTATTACATACTAATATCATTCTGGCTTATTTAATACATAGTAGTTTGTACCTCTTAATCACCCACCCCTATCTTGCCCGTCTACCATTCCCTCTCCCCACTGGTAACCACTAATTTTTTCTCCATGAGTGCTTTTTTGTTATATTCACTAGTCTGTTGTATTTTTTAAAATTCCATTTATAAGTGATTACAGTATTTGACTTTCTCTGACTTATTTCACTAAGCATTAACACCCTCCAGGTCCATCTATTGTGTTACTGTCAACTTCCCCCTTTATGTCGGTTAATATTAGTTTATGTATTTAGGTGTTCCTATGTTGGGTGCATATGTATCTTTAATCATTGTTCTTGGAGTGATCCCTTGGTCATTACATAATGTCCTCCTTTGTCTCCTGTTCAGTCTTGGTTGTAAAGTTGGTTTTGTCTGATGTGAGTATTGGTGCCTCAGCTTTCTTTTGATTGCCATTTGCACGGATACCTTTTTCCATCCCCTTGGTCTTTGTCTCTTCAGATTAGAAGTGAGTCTCTTGTAGGCAGCACAGGTCTTGTATCCATTTCACCACTCTATGTCTTTTGATTCAAACATTTAGTCTATTGACATTAAAGTAATTACTGATAGGTATGCACTTATGGCTGTTTTATTAACACATTACTGACTGGGGAATTTCTGCAGAAATGAACACCTGTGGTGTTAATGTTGACTGGGGGATTTTTGCAGAAACTAACACCTGTGGCATTACCGTGTCTCCAGTCCAAGTGGTGTTTTCTGCTTGTTTTTGTAGTTCTTTTGTTCTTTTTTTGCCTTATTCCCTTGTGAACTGATGACTATTTTTAGTATTTGAATTTGTGTGTGTGTGTATTATAGATTTTTGGTTTGTTGTTACCATGAGGTTTACACATAGCAGTCTGTATATATATATGTGATTAAGTTGCTGATCTCTTGATTTCAAACACATTTTAATGTCTTTTTGTTGTGCATCTCTTAACTGCTTATTGTGAGTATAGATGATTTTCACTACTTTTGACTTTTAATCTTACTAATAGCTTTGTATGTGGTTAACTTACTACTTTTCCTGTATATTTGCCTTTCCTAATGAGCTTTTTCCTTTTGTAATTTTCATGTTTCTAGTAGTTACCTTTTTCTCGCTTGGGTAAGTGCCTTTAAGGTTTCTTGGTTTGGAAGTGCTGAACTCTTCCAGCTTTTGGCTTGTCCATAAAACTTTTAATCTCTCCATCAAATCTGAACAAAAACCTCGCCAGGTAAAGTATTCTTAGGTGTAGGTTTTTCTCTTTCATCACCATATCATGCATCTCCCTTCTGGCCTGCAAAATTTCTGAAAACTCAGCTGACAGCCTTAGGAGAGTTCCCTGGTATGAATCTGGTTCCTTTTCCCTTTGAATATTCCTGCTTTGAATATTCTCCAGTTTTGCCATTTTGATTACAGCGTGTCCTGGTGTAGTCCTCTTTGGGTTGATCCTGTGTGGGACTCTGTGTTTCTTGGACTTGAATGTCTGTTGCTTTCCCCAGGTTATGGATGTTTTCAGCTCTTATGTCTTCAAATATGTTTCCTGCCCCTTTCTCTCTCTCTCTTTCCCTTCCGGGGCCTCTGTAATGTGAACATCAGTGTGTTCAGTGTTGTCCTGGAGGTCTCTTAAAACTGCCCTCATTTTTTATTTTCTTCTGTTCAGCTATAGCAATTTCCACTGCTGTCTTCCAGCTCACTGATCCATTCCTCTGTATCATTTAATCTGTTGATTCTTTCTAGTGTATTTTTCTCTTTAGTTATTATTCAGTTCCTCTCTGTATTTTCTAATTCTTCCTTAAAAACTTCCAACTTCTTCCTCTGTTTTTCTATTTTTCTCTGAAGTTCTTTGATCGTCTTTATGATCATTACCTTAAACTTTTTATTGAGTAGATTGACTGTCTCCAGTTCATGTAGTTCTGCAACTTTGTCTTTTTCTTGCATTTGTAACATGTTGCTCTGTCACTTTCAGTTCAGTTCAGTCGCTCAGTCGTGTCCGACTCTTTGTGACCCCATGAACCGCAACACGCCAGGCCTCCCTGTCCATCACCAATTCCCGGAGTTTACTCAAACTCATGTCCATTGAGTCGGTGATGCCATCCAACCATCTCATCCTCTGTCGTCCCCTTCTCCTCCTGCCCCCAATCCCTCCCAGCATCAGGGTCTTTTCCAGTGAGTCAACTCTTCGCATGAGGTGGCCAAAGTATTGGAGTTTCAGCTTCAACATCAGCCCTTCCAATGAACACCAAGGACTGATCTCCTTTAGGATGGACTGGTTGGATCTCCTTGCAGTCCAAGGGACTCTGTCACCTTACTCTGCCTAATTTGCTGTTTTTATTTCTATGTAGGGCCAGACTCTTTGTTGTGAATGTACTGGAATTCCTGGGCTCCCCTGGGGGCTCAGACAGTAAAGAATATGCCTGCACTGCAGGAAACCTGGGTTTGATCCCTAAGTTGGAAAGTTCCCTTGGAGAAGGGAATAGCAACCCACTCCAGTATTTTTACCTGGAGAAGTCCATGGACGGAGGAACCAGGTGGGCTATAGCCCATGAAGTCACAAAGAGTTGGACATGACTTGAGTGACCAACACACTATCTGGTAGATTGCTTATGTTTCCTGGTCTTGGAGAAGTGGTCTTTTGTAGAAGACGTCCTATGCGCCCCAGCAGCGCACTCCCCTCTGGTCACCAGGGATACACGCTCTAGGGGTGACCCTGTGTGGGTTATGGTGGCAGGCTAATTACTGTGGGCAGTCTGGTAGGCATAGCTGGCCCCTGGTTGGGCTGGCTTCTAGGTCCTGTCTTGTGCAAAGTCTACCAGCTCCTAGTTGGGGCCTGATCACAAGGCAGCTGATTGCAGAACCCAGGGGTCCTGGGGCCAGTGCTGGTTTACTGGTATGCAGAGATGGGTCCCAGGGTCTCTGGTTACTGGGCCCTGTGGATCATAGGACACAGGTGTTAACCTGCTTGCTGGGTGGTGCTAAATCCCAAGTTCTCTGGCCAAGGGGCCCAAGGTGTCCTAGAACCGGTGAGCAGGGCCCAGGGGGGCGCCAGGGCTGGTGCCTGCCTGCCGGCTGATGGGTGGGCTGTGTCCCACTATGGCAGGCTCTGGGGCTGCAGTGGTCTGGGGCTAATGTCTACCTGTTGGCAGGTGGGGCTAGGGCCTGCCAGCTCGCTAC